ACCCCGGCTGTCGAGTGAAGGTAGCCAGGTGAAGACCCGTCTAAGCATACGTGCAGTGTGTCACACGCTCGTAGGCAGGGGTGAACTGGTGAACACTCGCGTCCTGGAGCGCAGAACCCGCCACCAAGTTCGTAGAGAACGAGGGGAGGTAAAGACCCGACAGTGTGCCGGACGGGACAGCAGGACAAGGGAGGACAGTGGAGGAGGTCGTACGGACTGGACCCCCAGAGGGGTCTGCCAGGGAGACTGGAACCGCCGACTGAGCGGCGTGAGGGTGGTGCTATCGCGAAAGAAGGAGCGAGAAGCACCGTGTGAAGGTGTACAAGGCCTCAGCAGGCGCAGGTACCAGAGAGAGCAGACTAACCAGCACCTGGAGCAGCACCCTCACCAGTACCTAGAGCAGGAGACACACTAGCCCCTAGAGTAGCAGCCTCACCAGCACCTAGAGCAGCAGGCTCTATACCTGGGTCAGGCGGTACGCACAGGTAACAGGCACGGTCAGCACTAGTAGGCAATGCATACATGGCAGTGAGAATAACATCATAGTCAAGAGCAAATATATCTACCCTCTGCCCAAGCAGCTCCACCCAGTCGGGGAGCTCAGCCTCGTCGCCAAACTCGGTACGCCAGGCGTCGCTCAGACGGGCGAAGCAGCGGGACTGTATGTGACTGAGCGTCCCGCAAGCCTGACAAGTCCGAGCACCAGTGCGAATGACGTACGGGCAGCGAACGGTACTCTGATACCCTCTACTCTGAGCGTACCACACACGAAGCTGCTGCGGCGTGCGAGACTCGCTCGGACGTCGCTGGAGCTGCATCTGGCCACCGCCAGTAGCAGCAGTAGTTGTAGTAGTAGCAGTAGCAGCACTAATAGCAGTAGCAGCAGTAGCAGCGCGGCCACCCCTACAACCCCCAACTAGCGTACCACTCACTAAGCTGCTGGGGCGTGAGGGACTCACGCGGACGTCGCTGGAGCTGCATCTGGCCACTGTCAGTAGCAGCAGTAGCAGTAGCAATAGCAGTAGTAGCAGCAGCAACGCGTGCTAGGGCAGGCGCGGCAGGCAGGCGGGTCGACAGGCAGGCAGGCAGGCAGCAGGCAAGCACGCAGGCAGGCAGGCAGGCGGCATCGCACGATCAAGGTAGGTGCTCGCCAGTGGCAGGCAGGGCCGGCGCTCGGCGGGGCCGCAACAGCGGCCGCAGAGTAGGGCTGCGTCGGCGGTAGGGCAGGTCCGCGTCAGCTGCTGCAGGGCGGGGCCGTGACAGCTGCAGGGCGGGGCCGCAACGGCGGCAGAAGGCTCCGCGGCAGCTGCTGCAGGGCGGGGCCCCGACTGTGGCAGGAGGCTCCGCGGCAGCTGCTGCAAGGTGGGGCCGTGACTGCGGCAGAAGGCTCCGCGACAGCTGCTGCAGGGCAGGGCCGTGACGGCGGCAGGAGGCTCCGCGGCAGCTACTGCAGGGCAGGGCCGCGACTGTAGTAGGGCACTCCGTGGCAGCTGCTGCAGGAGCGACGGTGGCAGTCAGGCAGGGGCGGCGTCCAGGGGCAGCCGCGAGGAACAGGGGCAGCCGCGCTGCGCGAGCTGCGGGCGCGGCGCGCGGGGCTACACTGCGACGCGCTAAACCCTAAAGGCGGCGCGCGGGGCTGCAGCGCAACGCGCGGGCAGCGAACGCGACGTGCGGGGCTGCGGCGCGACGCGCAGGCAGCGGGCGCGACGCACAGGGCTGCAGCGCGATGCGCGGGCAGCGGACGCGACGCGCGTGGCTGCAGTGCGACGCGCGGGCTGCGGACGCGACGCGCGGGGCTACAGCGCGATGCGCGGGCAGCGGGCGCGTCGCGTGGGGCAGCGACCTGGCCTGACGGGCCTGCAGGGGCGGCTCGCTGGCCTGACGGGCCTGCATGGGCGGCTAGCGGGCCTAACGGGCCTGCAGGGGCGGCTAGCAGGCCTGACGGGCCTGCAGGGGCGGCTCGCTGGCCTGACGGGCCTGCAGGGGCGGCTAGCGGGCCTGTCGGGCCTGCAGGGGCGGCTAGCAGGCCTGACGGGCCTGCAGGGGCGGCGCTCTGGCCTGACGGGCCTGCAGGGGCGGCTCGCGGGCCTGACGGGCCTGCAGGGACGGCTAGCGGGCCTGACGGGCTTGCAGGGGCGGCTCGCGGGTCGTATGGGCTTGCAGGGACGGCGCGCTGGCCTAGGGCAGCAGTAGGCAGCGCGAGGGCTGCAGGACAGCGCGCGCAGCGCAGCACGTCACAAGGCGAGGCAGGCAGGCGCACGTGGGGTAGCGTGGTAACCGCAACGGTAGGTGGGCCCGAAAAAAAACGGTTGTACGGACCTAGTGCTCTGAAACCATGTTAGAATCTAGCAGCAGGAATGAATGCATTGAACAGAGATGTGGGTACATATGCTGACCCTAATTTGGGTTGTACCCCTTATGGGCTACCCCACTACAGCCTACACAGCAGAAGCATTATCATAGTTTGACATTAGGTACCAAGCAGGCACACAGCAGTGATGTTTTCACACCGTTTGGTTATGAATGATTGTTGAGTGGGCTGTATTATTGGGGCCACAAATGAGGGAGACACAGTGACTATAGGGTGGAAATGTTGTACGGAGAGAAGGTGGGAGCATAATCTAACCAGTAGAAACAACGGGTTTTCAAACTTAAATAGTGGAGTACAAATTAAGTCCACCGACGATAGAGAGACATATCCAAAGCAAACAAGAACATGCAACTGACGGGAGGCAATTGCAGGGTTCATGGTGGATGAAAAACCGTTCAGCCCAGGGAGGCGAGAAATGCGGCGACCTGGGGCTTCTGCAGCAGGGTCAGAACGCGCCAGGGGCCGAAAGCTTCCTTAGCAGCCGGGCGGTGGGTCGTGGCCGTCACGCGGGCGGAATGGGGGTTGGAGTGGAGTTGCACGATGGCGCTGTCGAGGGCAGGGCCGCATGCGAACTCGCAAAGCGAACAGGTCCAAAGTTCGACCTCGACATTCAGAGGGGCCAGCATGGGTCCCCAAAATGTTCCCTGAGAGAACCAGGCCATAAGGGCGGGGGTTGAGGGGGGAGAGGACGGACACAAGGGAGAGACGGAAGGGGCAGGTTGGGAGGGGGGCAATTCTGTGTTAAGGGGGTAGGGTGGAAGGCAAGAGAAAGGACAGGGTGCAGGGCTGAACCTGGGTCAGGCCATCCAACCACAAGTCGGAGCAACTTTTGATGGTGCACAGCACATCCACAGACAAGTGAGCACGAATCTACAAAATAGCGAGCCCATACCCCTTATTGAGGCATGTGAGACTGTGGGGGAAGGGTGAGTAAGAGGGCTTGTTACAATTTGGTGAAAGAGGATAGTTTATTGAATATGCGGGTGTTTTCTTACTTAAATACTCAACACTCGCTTCACGGAAAAACAAAAACTCACAGTCCACCCATTCTCTAATATTCTTACGTTTTATGGACATTCATGCAGTCTTATCACACTGCTTTTGCTGTATACTAATGTAGATGCATATAGAAATATATGGGCAAACACTGAATTCAGAAATATCCAACATCTGGGATGATCGGGTATGCTTGCAGTATTGAGGATATGTACAAACACGTAAAAGAAGAATCCATAGAGGATTGCTCACACGTCTTGATATAAGTGTGTTCTGGAGGTGTCTGTCATTGCTCACACGAGCCTAGTCCTGCCGACAAATACTTTTGTCGTTTTACGTCAACATCCCACCGACACCCACCAGCCTTTTCTGTCAGCATGCTAGCGCGTTTCGCATCACGTCTGTGTGATTATTGAGCAGAAGCTGACTCTCGCGCTTGGCGATGTGCCAGAGGACGTCCCATCATCTTCCCAAGCCAGCAATCGGACGGTTAGAACAAGTCAGAGTTACGGAAGTTGGCGTCCGATTGGCGAGAAATCTTCTGAGTAGGCAGGTACGTTCATTCCGACCGAGGGCTGTGGTGTTGTGGGAAGATTGTCGGTTGAAGTACAGTGTATTGTCTTGAGGTGCGGTGGGGGGACGGTGAGAAGGTGTGGCTTGCCTTTCCCAAGAATTGGACGTTGGTCGGTGTCATTATCTTCCACCCAGTGCCGGTAGTATCCGCTCGAACGAGCTCAATTCCCCTTCCACCCCCCTCCGCATGCTGCTGTAGGTTTCCGCACTCACGCGTGTAATGTACAGAACAGATTTCCGCACCCCTCGAGAATGCCCTGATGCGAGTCAACCCCCAAGACAACGAACCACCCATATTTTGTCGAACCGTTTGAACCGAACCAGCCTCCAAGCCAAAACCTCATTGCTTCGTCCCCGTGCCCTTGTCTGCATCCCATTGGACGAGCTAGTATTTTCGCTGAGTGCACGCCCGCTCACCTCACCTCACAGCTCCTCATCAGCAGCCGCCAACCGCCATCCTCAACACTGGGCGGAAGAACGCGTGCGGATCCTCTCCCCTCCGCTCCCCTCCCCTCCCCCCTCTTTTCCCCCCTCACCTCTTTCTGCACAATAAGCCGTCCATGGCAGCAGTGTCAGACCGGCGATCAGCCCACATCCCCGCGAATTTCCCCGAATTGACTGCCTGTCCGCTACGCCTCACTTCCCTACCTGTCGCGTCTGTTCCCCAGCCAAGCCTCCACTCCGTCCCACTATGAACCTTCCACCGTCAATTGCCGCCTCAAACCAGTCGGTACGCGGCTTCCTCCTCCCCCATCCCTACCTCTCTGTCCTCTCCACAGCACTCGTCCCACCCCGCCAAGTTCCATCCATCCATCTGTCCGTTCTTCGTCCACCTTCATATTCCTGAAACCCTTGCTCAGTTGCCTATCTCCTCTCCCACAACCATTTCCATACTTTCTGATTGTTCCTAGATTTACCCAATTTCCAGGCTGTTTGTATCACTGGACTCAGCTTACACTGGTGTCTAAGGCAACGCCCTTCTTAAACTAAACAACACCTTAATAGTACCAATAACCGCTCGAATACTACGTTAGTTTCATTTTGTCGTAGATCCATCAACATGCATAAGAATCAGCTTCAGGAGGTGGCTCAAAAGAACGGCTACAACCTCCCCTCGTACGCATGCATACGCGAAGGGCCAGACCACGCGCCTAAGTTTAAAGCTACGGTTCTTTTTAACGGCGAGACGTATGTAAGCCCGGGATATTTCGTATCGCTCCGTCAGGCGGAGCACGCAGCAGCCGAGGTGGCCCTCAGGAGCCTCTCAGAGTGCTGTCCGTCGCAGTCCATTGCGACGGTACTCGACGAATCAGGCGTCTGCAAAAATCTGTTACAAGAAACGGCTCAGCGCGCCGGCGTGCCGCTGCCGAATTATAACACGGTCCGGTCGGGTCCCGGGCACCAGCCGGTGTTCACGTGCACGCTCGAGGTCGCGGGGCTGCAGTTCTCCGGCGAGGCGGGGCGGACGAAGAAGCAGGCGGAGAAGAACGCCGCGATGTCTGCTTGGTCCGCGCTGAAACGACGTAAGTACCTCCACTCTTGAGTAACCGTGACTACTCCCTCGGAGATGTCTTGCGACTCGAGGCTTTCTTTCATTTTTTTTTCTGAACCTCTTTCTGTCCCCTCGCCTGATCATCCTGATACTGGTAACTAATTTCTGTCCTCCCTTCTTGTTCCTCTTCTATCTCGTGCAGATGCCGGCCGCAACCAATCGGGTCCCATGGAGGACTTCGATGTGACGGACGAGCAGGAGCAGAGCGCCATCGCGCGGGCTCTCGCTAACGCGTACAACGCCAGCTCCATTAAGAGCAGCCCCGCTATTCTCTCTCATCCAGCGGACGCTCCGCACAGCGCGTACCTCCCCTCGCCGTCTCCCAAGGGCATGGCGTCCGCGCCGCTCTACACGCGCAACCGTAGCTCCGTCTCTCAGAAAGCCAATCCCGGTCCCCTTTATGTGCCGCGCCACGTCAGCTCCGGCCGAACTTCAGAGTCTGCTTCCGGCAACAGCAATGGTCGCATGATGACGTCATCGTCGTTCAAGATGCGTGAAGTCACCATCCGCGAGTATTCCGTCGAAGATTCCCTTCCAGATAATCTCGGGAGCATCATGGGTGCGCCTCCGCAGTTCCCGCGCATGACCCACTCCAGCCCGCACATCGAGCCGCCGGCGCCGACTTACACTCGCCGGTCGGCCGCCAGCCGGTCGAACGGCCCTGCCGACATCGGCAGCAGCGTTCCTAACTTCCCCACGCAGCCATTGGTCTCCCAGTCCGTGCCACGTCAGCCTGGCCTCGGTCTCCCCCAATCAGAGCAATCCGCGGGGAGTCAAACTTCTCGTTACACGAACATTGCCATCAAGCCGGGGATGGCTTACCAGCCGCGATCGGCGCGCGGAGGGCAGTCTAAGCCTGCGTACAACACCGGAGCATCGTCGTACGTCCCTGCGGAACGCATGGATGATGCCGGAAGCGACGGACGCTGGTCGCACAACAGTCGCCCAGTAAGCTCCAACGGCGGAGGCCTGCTCCCCAACCCCACGGACGTATCGGGTGCTTCCACGTGGACGAGGCAGTCTAGCAGCATGCCGTACTGGCCCGCGCATGCTATGGGTGGGATGCCATCTAGCCGCCCTGTCTCCGGTTCGTTCGCCGGCGGAAGGGTTGGTGGTGTGGTAGCTCCTGGCGTGGGTGCTGGCGTAGATCCCAAGGGAAAGCAGTGCCGCACGGAGCTGGAAGAGGACGTGTCCGCGGCTGAGGCGACGACCCGTCAAATGCTCAACCACCTGTGCTTGTAAAGAGGCGACCGAGATTCTAAGTCTGCGTAACAGCAGTTTGGAAATGTCTTGGTCGTGTCTTCCCCTCCCAACACCTCCCTCACTCCGCTGCAGTATTTCGTTCATTTGTTTAACGGGGTGAAGTCTCTATGCGAGTGTTACCTCACTCCCCTAACCATGCACTTCTCTCTGCACCTCCATTTTACAGCACTGGCTGTAGTGGCAGTGCATATTTAGGGGACTGTCAGTCAGCTCTATACTCTCCACTGGCAACTGAATAGAAACTGAATAAGCATTCTCTTCTATTACTGTATTCCATGATATAAGTAAAATGTTCTTTTAAATGGGTAATAAACTGCTCTTGAAGGTTGTGCCAGGTTTGGGTTGTAGGGACGATGAGCAGCAGCTGAGTAGGGAGTGAGTTTGCATGGATGGTTTTGTAGTTGCAAACAGAACACACATGACGTTTAGTCAGAACATTTGCCAGATCTTTGGTGTCACACCGGTACATGGTGTATGGGAGGAAAGTTACCTAGAAGAGGTGGAAAATGTTGCAAAATTATACCGTACATGAACTCTCCACTCGTCCTAGCATACGGTAATGTATAAATCGTCGGCTACAATTGTAGTGAGCAAACATAGATACGAATAATTTTCATTAGTCCAAATTGTAGTGCTCTGTCAAAAATAACATATGTGGTGCTGTATACATCTTAAATTAGCAGTAAGTTTAAAGCTAGGAGTTATTACCGAGACTTCACCGCGGTGTAGTACTTGGATGGAATCCAATTCGTCCCTACCCCAATCACCTTTCCGCCAGGCCCACAACATCTGTTTTCCTTCCGCCGCTCCCTCCCTGTCTGCCCTGGTTCCGGACTTAGCCGCTGGTGCAAAGCTTCTGCTTGCGGAGCGGAGTCGTGCGCGCCGTTCTTGTTCCTTCCCCAGGACACAAGCCCCGCGAAACCAAACCCCGGCGCGCAGCAGCAGCACTCTGCATTCTCTCTCTGCAGGTTCGGGACTTGGCCGCTGTGACGCCAACCGCCCACGCCTCGCCTCGCCAACCACCCCGAGCAACCCGAGTTGAGCTGACCCTGCTCTCGTCACCCTTGAGATTGCCGCCAGCCTGGTGGTGTCCTTAGGGATTTTGCACAAGTGCGAACAACGCGATCACAGCGGTTGAGTCTGTTCCATTACTAGTACAGTGCGTTTTCTCGCGTTATAGAGGATACCAGTGCGATAACTCTAAGCTAATCCCCTCCAGACTTGTCGCTCTCACTTGTCTCCCGTTCTTCCAGCTCCTCTCTGCACTTGTGTCTTGCTGCCTTGTGCTCCTAACCCCTGGCTACTCTCTGGGGACTTGGCGTCAGGATTTGCAACTGAGCTAGAGGCTCAGCAGGCAAGTCTCAGGACTTAGCGTCTGCGCAAAACCATTAGGCAGAGGTCCAGCCTACGCACCTGGCCGACTTCCCTGGGAGTTATTTCTCCCGTTTGCGACATCCGCAGGCAGTTCGGTGTGTTATTTGCTGTTATTTCTCGCCCAATTAAGAATTCGGCCTGGAGTTCCGTCGCTGATCGTCCGCCCTTCAGCCATTGTGCACCACGCCTCGAACGCGGACGGTTCTAAACTGTCCCGTTGACGGTAAGGGGGGCGCGGTAGTTCAATTCCGTGAGTTTCTGCGAGACTTTCGCAGTAAATCATAAGGTTCATCCACGATGTGTCCAATGAGCGTTCAAACAAGTTATTCAATTCAACTGAATGAATGTTGCCTTAGTTGCTTGGCCTTTCCACTCGATTGCTGAATCTCGTTTCGCTGCGAAGTCTCTTCACTTTTGAATTCCGTTCCCTACTTACGCGTGCATGTTTGTTGTTGCATTCTGGCTCATGTTGGTTTCCAGCTTACGCGTATTCCATTCTGTCGCGACGCGTTACTTCGAAATTCACATTTGAAAAGGAACTGATTCAAAATGAATCAAGTTCCGTGCTCCTGTTCAGCCGGCCGTTAATCTCTGTTACCGTAATCGAGCCCGATCCTGACTGACGCGCGTGTCTGGCTGACGCGAGTTGGCTCGTCAAGGTTCCTTCCCGGCGTCTTTCCGTTTCGCTCCGTTCGATACTGAACTCACCGCGATTTCCCAAATAATGGCTCTCCTTTTTTTTTCCCAAGTGGGCTCGTGTCTATGCACGTGTGCTTAAGTCACAGCATCGTGGTAACACCATGCGCGGAAATGACTCGTTCTGTCTCTGCCCCCTTGTCCTTCCCCATGTTTCTCCGCTCTCATCGTGTTTCTGTCACAGATTCCGAGTCCAAGCGAACTGAACTCAAGATAGCGTCGTCTGGAGTGTCTTTTGAAGCCGCCGCCTCGCGCCATGGATTCAGACGAGGATGCGCCTTTCACGGCCAGACGCGCCAAGCCCGCTGCTGCGCCCGCCGCCCGTCCCGCTGCCCCGCTCCGCCCGCACTCCTCTCCCGCCGATCGTCCGCGTCCCTCGCCAGGCGGTGGGAGAGGCGGCGGAAGAACCGGCGCGAATAGCGGCGTCCGCCTGCCAATGAAGAGCGAGCCACGCCACGCGTCGGATGACGACGACGACGTGCCGCTGGGTAAGCTAGCGGCCGGCGCGGCGCCTCGGCCGGGGGATAAGCGGCCGGCGGAGCGGTATCCGGGGAACGGGGGAGGGCGGGACGGCAGCGGCGGGGGTCGCGACGGGCCGAGTCCCGCGGAAAAGCGGGCGAAGGCGGAACCTGTGACTGTAAAGCGGGAAACCGATCCGCGCGGTTCTAGGGACGGGGGAAACGCGGGGAACGGATCCGGCGGGGCGGTGAGGGTGAAACCCGAACGGGCAGATGAGGACGACGAGAAGCCGATTAGGAGCTTGCGTCCGGGCAGCGGGCAGGGTAGCGAGCAGGGTAGCAGACAGGGCAGCGGGCAGGGCAGCGGGCCGGGCAGGGGAGTGAAGAAAGAGGAGAAGGCGGAGAGCGAGGAGGAGGAGGAGGAGGGGAGTGAGGAGGAGGGGAGCGAGGAGGAGGGAAGTGAGGAAGAGGGGAGCGAGGACGAGGGAAGCGAGGAGGAGAGCGAATCAGAAAGCGATGAGGATGTTCCACTAGCGAAACGAGCCGGGGCGGGTGGGGGCGCCGCTGGTGGTACTGCTGGTGCAAAGCCGGGTGCCAGAGCGCCAGCCAAGACACCGACAAAGCCAGCAGGGAAGGGCGCGGCAAAGGGCAGTGCGGCTGGAGGGGCGAAGAAGGGGAAGAAGGAGGACAATTCGGTGAAGTGGAAGACGCTGTCCCACAATGGCGTGATCTTCCCGCCGCCCTACACGCCCCATGGCGTGAAGATGCTGTACAATGGCAAGCCCGTCGACCTCACTCCAGCGCAGGAAGAGGTGGGTCCTGCCTCGACTGTTGTGTGCTACATTGCGTGTCCTTGCCTGTGCCCCTCCCTGCCCTGTCTGCCTGCCTCTCTGCCTCTCTGCCTGTCCTACACGCCCCATGGCGTGAAGATGCTGTACAATGGCAAGCCCGTCGACCTCACTCCCGCCCAGGAAGAGGTGAGCCGTACGTTGCCTAATCCGGCCCGCCCTGCCCCGCCCTGCCCTGGCCTGGCCTGGCCTGCCTGAAGGACTTTTGGAACGACTGGCACAAGGTGCTGGGCACAAGGCACGTGATTCAGAATCGGATATGCCATCCCGTGCCACCTTCCCCCCCTTGCCATTCCACCTCCCAGGTAGCCACCATGTTTGCAGTGATGCGGGAGACAGAGTACGCGACAAAGCCGGTGTTTCTGAAGAACTTTTGGAATGACTGGCGCAAGGTGCTGGGGCCAAGGCACGTGATTCAGAAGCCCATGTGCCATCCCATCCCCCCCTCCCCTTCCCCTTCCGCCACCCTTGCAGATAGCCACCATGTTTGCAGTGATGCGAGACACGGAATATGTGACAAAGCCGGTGTTTTTGAAGAACTTTTGGAATGACTGCTGGGGCCCAGACACGTGATTCAGAAGCTCTTGTGCCATTCCATGCCAACCTCCCCCCCCCCCTTGCCACTCCATCCCCCAGGTAGCCACCATGTTTGCAGTGATGCGAGAAACGGAGTATGCGACGAAGCCGGTGTTTCTGAAGAACTTTTGGAACGACTGGCGCAAGATATTGGGGCCCAGGCACGTGATTCAGAAGCTGGAATTATGTGACTTCACGCCTATTTGGGACTGGCACCTGGCGGAGAAGGAGAAGAAGAAGCAGATGACCAGTGAGGTGAGCGGGCGAGGGTTTTGAGGGGAGTCAGATGAGTGTAGGGGTGAGAGGCGCAGGCAGGTAATCTGTGACAGACACATGCACTTCACTTCTTGTTTCGCCGTAAGCACCCATTTTTTGAGAAAATCTCACAACAACCTCGTCTTTTCCTTTCTTTTGCGTCTCTAGGAGAAGAAGGCTTTGAAGGAGGAGAAGCTAAAGGCAGAGGAGAAGTACATGCATGCAGTGATCGATGGGTTGAAGGAGAAGGTGAGCAATGCATGTGCTTTCATGTCATGTCATGTGCTGTCATGTCATGTCATGTCATGTGCTGTCATGTCATGTCATGTCATGTCCATTCATGTCCTGTCATGTCATGTCCTGTCATGTCATGTCATGTCCTGTCATGTCCTGTCATGTCATGTCCTGTCATGTCATGTCATGTCCTGTCCTGTCATGTCCTGTCATGTCATGTCATGTCCTGTCCTGTCATGTCCTGTCATGTCATGTCATGTCCTGTCATGTCCTGTCATGTCATGTCCTGTCATGTCATGTCCTGTCATGTCATGTCATGTCATGTCATGTCATGTCATGTCATGTCATGTCATGTCATGTCATGCCATGCCGTGTCATGCCGTTTGCAGCAAATGAAGAGTTGTTTGGATTCCGAACCACTCTCTACTCCTCCATCCCATTCCGTGTGTGTTTTGAGTCGACTCAAAACACACCTGGATTCCGAACCACTCTCTACTCCTCCATCCCATTCCGTGTGTGTTTTGAGTCGACTCAAAACACACCTGGATTCCGAACCACTCTCTACTCCTCCATCCCATTCCGTGTGTGTTTTGAGTCGACTCAAAACACACCTGGATTCCGAACCACTCTCTACTCCTCCATCCCATTCCGTCTCCCCTTCTCGTCCCCATGTCTCTACTCGATCCTCATCCCCTTCAGGTTGGCAACTTCCGGGTGGAGCCGCCAGGGCTGTTCAGAGGGCGGGGCGAGCATCCCAAGGTGGGTGGGGGGTTGAGGGACTTCGGAGGAAGGTTGCAGGGGAGGGAGGGGTGGGGGAAGAAGGGAGAAAGGGGAAGGGGAAGGGAAGAAAGGGTTGGGAGGAAGGAAATTCTTACCCTGGGGGCACACTGGTGAGTTACCTACCATCAACGTCTGAGCGTGTCACACTGCGCACATGGGCTCATAGGCTCATGGGGCAGGCAGGAGAAGGGATCATCGGCCTGAGACTGAGAGTCTCATGCCTTCCCCACCCCACACCATTCAGTTTCCTCTCTTTGCACCGCTGCAGATGGGCAAGCTAAAGCGGGGGATAATGCCCGAGCACATTGTGATCAACGCTGCGTCTTCCCCTTGCCCCTTTCCCCCGCTCACTCGCCGTTATCCCTCCACTTGCCCTCCTGGCCAGATGGGCAAGTTAAAGCGGCGGATAATGCCCGCGGACATTGTGATCAACATTCTCTGTGCCTTCCCCCCTGTGTCCCCTCTCGCTCGCCTCTGTGTCCCCTCTCGCTCGCCTCTGTGTCCCCTCTCGCTCGCCTCTGTGTCCCCTCTCGCTCGCCTCTGTGTCCCCTCTCGCTCGCCTGTATCCCCTCTCGCTCGCCTGTGTCCCCTCTCGCTCGCCTGTGTCCCCTCTCGCTCGCCTCTGTGTCCCCACTTGCCCTGCACACCTGGTGCAGATGGGCAAGCTAAAGCGGCGGATAATGCCAGAGGATATCGTAATCAACATAGGGAAGGAGGCACCCGTGCCTGAATGCCCCATACCCGGCCACAGGTGAGTCTCCTGGTCGCCACGTGTCCCGCAGGTGAATGATATTGCCGGAGTGATTGAATGTGGGATGAATGCAGATGCATTTTGGATTGTGTTTCAACGTGCCGTCTTTTCATTGTCACCCACACGCGCTGAGATGCTTCAACACGTCATGTTCTGTTCCCACCCACGTGCGAGGCAGGTGGAAGGAGGTGCGGCACGATAGCACAGTCACACGGCTGGCGTACTGGTTCGACCCGATCAACCAGAAGGACTTCAAATACGTCTTCCTCACTCCCACCCACCACCCACCCACCCACACATGCGCCTGGCAGGTGGAAGGAGGTGCGGCACGACAACACAGTGACATGGCTGGCGTACTGGTTTGACCCGATCAACCAGAAGGACTTCAAATACGTCTTCCTCACTCCCACCCACCACCCACCCACCCACACATGCGCCTGGCAGGTGGAAGGAGGTGCGGCACGACAACACAGTGACATGGCTGGCGTACTGGTTTGACCCGATCAACCAGAAGGACTTCAAATACGTCTTCCTCGCTCCCAGCAGCCGCCTCAAGGGGCTGTCGGACAAGGAGAAATATGAGAAGGCGCGGAAGCTCAAGGTGAGCGCTTTTGGGTTTGTGTGTGAAAGGTCAAGGTGGGTCAAGAGGGTTTAGGAGCTGAAGGCATGCCCTTGGGTTCCTTTTTCAGTTGAGATTCACAGCCGCTCTCCAGCAGCCGTCTCAAGGGGCTCTCGGACAAGGAGAAATATGAGAAGGCGTGGAAACTGAAGGTGAGAGAAGCCACGCAGGCTGAAAGTAAGTGCCCTTGGGTTCTTGCGTGAGAGCTCAAGGTGGGTCAGAACGGTGAACGGAGCTGAAGGTGAGTGCTTTTGGGCCCTTAGTCGAGACTCAGAGCTGCTCAGCCGGCGCCTCAAGAGGCTGTCGGACAAGGAGAAGTACGAGAAGGCTCGCAAGCTCACGGTGAGTGCTCCGTGCTGCACATAGGCAAGATAGTGCTGGGACTCCACCTCCGTTTGAAGCACCTGTCAGTGTTCGTCTTGCTAAAGTCCCCATCTCCCACATCTCCCATTCCCACCATCACTGCCCCCTGCCCCCTCAGGACCACATAGCCAAGACCCGAGCCACGTACATGAAGCACTTCACGTCCAAGGACGCGTTTTACGCACCGCTCATTGCTTGTGCTGCCCTCTTCCCCGTCTCGCACACCCTTCCCCTTGCCTGCCGTCTTCCCCCTTTCACTTCAGGACCACATAGGCAAAATCCGTGCGACGTACACGAAGCACTTCACGTCCAAGGACGACCAGATACGGCAGGTGGCCGTCGCCACGTACCTCATCGACCGGCTGGCACTGAGAGCAGGCAATGAAAAGGTTCGATTGGGGCATGGGAATTTAGGCCTGGGGCAAGGGCCACTGGAAGATGGTGGTGCAGAGGGATAGGGGGCATGGGGGCACGTACACGAAGCACTTGTTGTCCAAGAACAACCAGATTTGACAGATGGCCGTTGCAACCTACCTCATCGACCGGCTGGCACTGAGAGCAGGCAATGAAAAGGTGAGATGGGGGCATGTGGCACATGAGGCATGGGTGGGCATGGGAAGATGTGCGCACAGTGCACTTGCAAGGAGGACCAGATTCGGCAGGTGGCCGTTGCGGCATACCTCATACGGATATGAATGAGTGCCGGTGGAGGCATGGCGTGGTAGTGGCAGGTTGCCACTGCACTGGTCTTGAGATCCGCGACCTTGGAGATGACATGAGCAATGTGGGCCTTGTGACGCTTCCTCAACTCTAGGAATCGGGCAGAGTGCAGGAGGCATGGGGCAGAGAGTCCGATGAGACAAGACCAAGGCTTGTCATTGACGATAGGCTAAACAATAGGCTTCCATTTTCATGACTAACTGGTATTGTGGGGACACAGACTCCCTGTCCCCACTGAGCAGGCAGTTGCACGCTGGGCTGATGGCTCATTGTAAAGCAAGTACCTCCCTCGCCCCCCAACCCTTCTTCAACCTCCTTGCATTCACCCCCTCCCCTTGCCACCCCTTTCCAGGATGATGACGAGGCAGACACGGTGGGTTGTTGATATGGTTGCTCGCTTAAAGAAATGTACTCCCTCCCGCCCCCTCCACATCGCCCCTCATCCTGTCATTGCTCCCCTCTTCCTTACCCACTTCCATCTGCACAGGATGATGACGAGGCGGACACGGTGGGTTGCTGCTCGCTAGAAAGAATAAGCCCCCATTTCGCCTCCCGCCATATCACCCCTCATCCTGTCATTGCTCCCCTCTTCCTTACCCACCTCCATCTGCACAGGACGATGACGAGGCGGACACGGTGGGTTGCTGCTCGCTCAAAGTGGAGCACGTCACGCTCGTGCCGCCCTCCTCGCTGCAGGTAGGACAGATGGTGCCGCCCTCCTCGTTGCAGGTTGAGCATATAACTACAACTTCTGGGGCGTAGTATGAGCATATCGATAAAAGCTTATATGTCTCAAAATATGAGCATATCACGACAAGTTTTGAGACGTCTTAAAATATGATCATATGACTAGTAGTTGTGAGCTGTCTCAAATGATGAGCACATGAGTAAAGTTTTCAGACGTCTAAAAATATGAGCATATAATGAAAGCTTTTTAGACGCCTTACGATATGAGCCTCTTCCCCTCTCTGCACTCACGTCTCTCCCCTCCCCCTCCCCCTCCCCCTCCCCCTCCCCCTTCCCTTCCCCTTCCCCCTTCTCCAATCCACCCCCCCTCCCACTACAGCCCAAACCCTCTCCCCCCACACCCCACACAGTTTGACTTCTTGGGTAAAGACTCTATCCGCTACTTTAACACAGTCGAAGTTGAACCTCTCATATACAAGGCGATCGAGGCGTTCAGGAAAGGCAAGAAGAAGGACGAGGACTTGTTTGACCCACCACTTTTGGAGTGTTGCAAGGGGGTTTTCTGCTCACCATGTCTCCACATTCCTCTCTCTCCCCTCACCCACCTTCCCTTTTCCTCCTCACCTTCCCTCCAGCACAGTTTGACTTCCTGGGTAAGGACTCCATCAGCTATTTCAACACAGTCGAAGTCGAACCTCTCGTGTACAAGGCGATAGGAACCTTCAGGAAGGGCAAGAAGAAGGACGACCTGTTTGACCCACCGCCTCTGGAGTGTGCAAGCAAGGGGCTTTTCTGCTTACCTCTTCCCCTCTCTCCACACCCCTCTCCCTCCCCTCACCTTCCCCTCCCGCACAGTTTGACTTCCTGGGTAAGGATTCGATCCGCTATTTCAACACAGTCGAAGTCGAGCCTCTGGTGTACAAGGCGATAGGAACGTTCAGGAAGGGCAAGAAGAAGGACGAGGACTTGTTTGACAAGCTGGACACCACGAAGCTCAACTCGCACCTCAAGGAGATCATGCCCGGGCTCACTGCTAAGGTCTTCCGTACCTACAACGCGTCAATCACACTTGACACGCTGGTGAGTGGGTGGGTGGGTGTGGCAGGCAGGCAGAGAGACACGCAGCAGGCAGACAGAAGGGTGTGCAGCAGGGTATCTGTAGTGGCAGAGAGACACGCAGCAGGCAGGCAGAAGGGTGTGCAGCAGGGTATCTGTAGTGACAGAGAGACACGCAGCAGGCAGGCAGAAGGGTGTGCAGCAGGGTATCTGTAGTGGCAGAGGGCGAGAAGGACGAGGACCTGTTTGATAGGCTGGTCACCACGAGGCTCAACTCAACTCGCACCTCAAGGAGATCATGCCTGGGCTTACAGCAAAGGTCTTCCGTACCTACAACGCGTCGATCACACTTGACACGCTGGTGAGTGCGCTTGCAACACGTGAGATCGCTCGTGTCCAGCCGCTGTATGACAAGCTGGACTCGACAAAGCTCAACTCGCACCTCATGGAGATCATGCCTGGGCAAGCTCAATGCGCACCAGCAAGCTCAATGCGCACCAGCAAGGGCAAGAAGAAGGACGAGGACCTGTTTCACAAGCTGGTCACCACCACGAGGCTGAACGCGCATTTGGAGATCACGCCTGGCCTCACTGCTAAAGTCTCCCGTACCTACAACGCCTCCGTCACGCTTGGCACACTGGTGAGTACCCTGTACCCTAAGCCCTGAACGTGTTGACATGACACAGGGGACGAGGATCTGTTTGACAAGCTGGGCACCAGCAGGCTCAAGGAGAACATGCCCGGCCTCACTGCGTACCTACAACACGTTGAGTAATCTTGACATGCTCCGTCGTGAGTGCGCTTATAGCTTATGGGGCGTTTGTATCGCTTGCTACGCTGGTGAGTGAGCAGGTGTACGCAGCAGGCAGGCAGACAGGAGGGTGAGCAGTAAGAAACGGTAGGCAGTGTGGTGGTGGAGAAGGGGGGCATGAGGTGACTTGTCTTTGCGCTCCAACAAAGGGGGCATGAGAAGGAGGGAATGAGGTGACATGCCTTCGCTGAACAGCGCGCCAACAAGGAGCTGATGGGCTGACAGGTCCCATCCCTCTTCCTTCTTTCCTCCCCTCCTGCCCCTTGCACCAACCTCCAGTTCCAAGACACAGTAGGAAGGAAGCCTGGTGGTGGAGAAGGTAGCGAACTATCAGCGCGCCAACAAGGAAGGGACGGGTCTCCTCTCCTCCCCTCCCCCTCTCTATTTCTCCTTCTCCGCTTCCTTCCCATTCCTCTACTCGTGTGCCCAGTTGCAAGACACGGTGGGCAGCCTGGTGGTGGAGAAGGTAGCGGACTATCAGCGCGCCAACAAGGAGGGGATGGGTTGACATGTGACCACCGCCCCTCCTCTTCCCTTCCCCACCCCCTTTACGCTCTACCTCTTTCCCCATTTCCCCAGCTCCAAGACACGGTAGGCAGCCTGGTGGTGGAGAAGGTAGCGGACTATCAGCGCGCCAACAAGGAGGTGGCCATTCTGTGCAACCATCAGCGCGCCGTGTCCAAGGCACACTCGGCACAGATGGAGAAACTGCAGGCCAAACTGAAGGAGCTGGAGGTGAGCTGTGCTGTGCATGTATGTTGTCGTGCCTGTGTATGTGTGTCCGTGTGCGTGTGTCAGTGTCTGTGCTTGTTGCTCCCACCACCACGTGCAAGCATCAGCACGCCGTGTCCAAGGTGCACGCAGCACAGATGAAGAAACTGCAGGCCAAATTGAAGGAGCTGGAGGTGAGTTGTGCTGTGCCTGTGTCGCCGTGCCTGTGTCGCCGTGCCTGTGTGTGAGTGTGTGCGTGTCAGTGTCTGTGCTGGTTGCTCCCACCTCCTCGTGCAACCATCAGCGCGCCGTGGCCAAGGCACATGCAGCGCAGATGGAGAAGCTTCAAGCCAAGCTGAAGGAGCTCGAGGTGGGTGGGCTGGCAATTGTGCGGGTGTGGCTCTGCCTGTCAGCTGTATCAGTAGCTGTGTGTGGGAGTGGTGCAGTGCGGTGCAGTAAGTCTGTGCCTCTAGTTGTTGCTTGTATCGCCTCGTGCAATCACCAGTGCTCCATGTCTAAGGTGCACGCAGCGCACATTGAGAAGCTGCAAGCGAAAATGAAGGAGCTGGAGGTGAGCTATGCTGTGCGTGAATGGCCAGACCTATCAGCTGTGTCTATGTTACTGGAAGTGAGCGGTGCGTGAATGGCTGGCCAGGAGATGGAGGAGGATTTGGATGGAGCACGCAAGTGAGGAGACAGTTAGCCGGAACCCCCCATTCCCGATCTCTCTCCCCCGCTCCTCCCTTTTCTTCAGGATGCGGTGGGGGAGATGGAGGAGGATTTGGATCGGGCACGCAAGGGTAGAGGCGACTAGCCCTGAACCTCCCACTCTCCCCCTCTCTTCTCCCCTCCCCCCTCACTCCCTACGGTTTGCTTCTTGCAGGATGCGGTGGAGGAAATGGAGGAGGACTTGGATCGAGCACGCAAGGGGAAGCCGCCCGTAAAGAGAGAGGGCGAGGGCGCCAGGAAGGTCAACCCCGAGGCGTGAGTGCCAGGCCAGCTGTGTGCTGTGTGATGGTGATTGGCGACGTGCATTTGAGTGGGCGTGATGGTGATGGTTTTACGTTGCAAGGGCGAGGGAGCCAGAAAGGACAACCTTGAGGCGTGAGTGCCAGCTGTGTGCTGTGTTGCTGTGTAATGGCAATGGGCGCTCTGTTGTGTGCACATGCATATGCGCATGCACATGCACACTCACATGCACACTCACATGCACACTCACATGCACACTCACGTGTACATGCGCATGCATATGCTCCCTCCCTCCCCCTCTCCTCGTCCCCTCTTCTTTTCCTTGGCTCCACACAGAATTTAAACGAAGCTGGTGCAGTCAAAGGCACGGCTGGAAAATTGTAGTTGGACACGAGCATGAAGGGCGAGCTTAATCCTTCTGCACCGCTCTCAACCTCTTACTCTCCGCTCTTCCGCCTCCTCCGCACAGTCGAAAGCGCGGCTGGAAAAAATGAAGCTGTACATGAGCATAAAGGACGAGCTCAAGACGGTGGCGCTGGGCACCCCTCTGCACCGCTCTCAACCTCTTACTCTCCGCCCTTCCCTTGTCTTCACACAGACTCGAAAAGAAGCTGGCGCAGTCAAAGGCACGGCTGGAGAAGATGAAGCTGGACATGAGCATAAAGGACAAGCTCAAGACGGTGGTGCTGGGCTCCCCTCCCTCTGCACTGCTCTCAACATTTTCCTCCCCGCCACCCACCTCCTCACACCCATCCATGCACATGCAGGCTCGAGAAGAAGCTAGCACAGTCGAAAGCACGTCTCGAGAAGATGAAGTTAGACATGAGCATAAAGGACGAGCTCAAGACGGTGGCGCTGGGCACGTCCAAGATCAACTACATGGACCCGCGCATCACCATCGCATGGTGCAAGCGGCATGACGTGCCTATAGAGAAGGTTTGTGCTCTGTGAGAGGCAGTGTGTGTGTGTGGGGCTTGTGTGCCCTCTGCACGTCCAAGATCAACTACATGGACCCGCGTTTTACCATCGTCTGGTGCAAGCGGCGTGACATGCCGATTGAAAAGGTGTGAGAGTGCTGCAAGCGTCGTGTGCTTTGAGTCAAGTCAGCAGTCACCTGGCTGGGGTCCAAGGTCAAGTACATGGACCCGCGCATCACATCACAGTGTCCTGGTGCAAGCGCCACGACATGCCTATAGAGAAGGTGCGGGCTGTGTAGAGACCCCTCCATCGCATGCCAGCCAGCCACAAGCCTTCCACACACGACCCACCCAGGCACCCACACGTATACTCCCCTTTCCCTCCCTTTCCCACTCTTCCCTTCTTTTTCGCGCCTTCCCCTGCACGCCCCCTCTCTCTTGTCGCTCACCAATCGCAGATCTTCAACAAGTCGCTGCTTGCCAAGTTCGGATGGGCCATGGATGTCTCTCCTCTCCAGTCCACCGCTTCTAGCAACACACTCTTGCCTTCACCTTGCACTCCCTTACCCTGTGTGCCACCCCTCTACTCTACCACCACCCATCCACACAGATCTTCAACAAGTCGCTGCTTGCCAAGTTCGGATGGGCCATGGATGTCTCTCCGGATTTCCGCTTCTAGCAACACACTCTTGGCCCACCCTACCACCTTGGCCCTTAGTCCAGCCTTACCACCTTGGTCCGACTCGTCAATACATCCCACTCCCAAGTGAAGAGGAATCACATCACAGCCGTCCATGAGCAAGCCCACAGCTATCAACGCGCTGTGATTACAACGCCTCTGGGTAGCTTGTGGCAAATTTTTCCTTTTCGACAGGTGTGGCACAGTGGATGCTGCAGCGCGTGCCCACCATGCAATGGTTTTGTCCTCGTATAGCCCTTGCTTTTTGCTGATAGAGATGTGGTTTACATGTGGAGATTGCGAGTGTGTTGTATGTAATATTTGCGATTGCTGCTTTACAGAACTGCTCAAAGTTTAATAAGGTGTCTTGATCTGCTCTAAGAACGTTGTGGTATCTTGTTCTGTTCTGAAAGCATTCCTGATCACAGGCGGGAGCCACTACACCAGTAACTAGTGTGGACAGCACCTAGCAATCCTGTCCAGTCCATAAACATTTCATGCTGTAATTATCATGGCCATCAAGAATCTCTTACAACCTCCTTCCAAATCTCCTTTCTTAAAAGTTGGCAAATCATCAGCGCCAATGTCTACCGTTTAGGGGTCTTCTACAACGAAGGGCGAGTCACGGTAAGTCTGAGTATGGTGGTCCGTAGCGGTTCCAAACCGCTCTCACATCATAAGCTGACGGGGCGTCACCCAAATGCGGTCTCTGAGACTTTTCTGATTGTAAAGAAATCTGTGAATGGCAAGTGCTTTATAAGGCAGATTCACATAGCGCGAATACATGGAGAACAATTATTAAATCGTGCCTATGTCAGAAAGTCGACCTCTTATCTATCAACTCAAAAGACTGGCGCCACTAGTACCACTAAGCTTCAAACGGTCGCTACGCTTATCGATGTCGCTAGGTCTGTTCAGACTACCACGATTCTGCGGTCGCACTACGGTTTGAAGGCCTTCGACGCCCCCTCCGCGGTGGCCTTAGCAGACGCCAGGGTTGAAAGAACCTTTTTATCGTTAACAGGGTCGAGCATAACGGAGACGCCGTCGATGGTGGAGACGGCGTTGGCGATCTGCCCCTGCACGAGCGTGCGCTGCCCCTCGTCGATCAGAATGCCCGCGTTCGTGAGCGCCTGCACCGTCGCCGTGAGGCTCGCGTAGTACTTGTGCTTCGTGCCCAGCGCGTCCGCCGCCTTCTGCACGCCGCCGGCGGCGGACTTGAGCTGCGACTGGATCTTCTGGTCCGCCTTGCTCACCTCCACCACGGGCGCAGACCCGCCAGTGCCTGAGTTGGCGCCCTTCTTTCCGCCCTTCTTTCCGCTCGTAGCAGGCGCGGGCACGGGATCAGGGGTGGGGGTCGCAGGGGCGGTCCAGTTCTTGTGTCCGCCCTTCTTCCTGGGGGTGGTTGGCGCGGGAGTGGCGGGAGTGTCGGTACCCTTGTTTCCGCCCTTGTTCCCCTTCTTTCCGGTGGTGGTAGGCGGGGGGGAGGCGGGAACGTCGGAGCCCTTGTTTCCGCCCTTGTTCCCCTTCTTTCCGGTGGTGGTAGGCGGGGGGGAGGCGGGAACGTCGGAGCCCTTGTTTCCGCCCTTCTTTCCGGTCTTTCCGGTGGTGGTTGGCGGGGGACTGGCGGGAGTGTCGGAGCCCTTGCTTCCGCCCTTCTTCCCGCTCTTTCCGGTGGTGGTAGGCGGGGGAGAGGCGGGAACGTCGGAGCCCTTACCCTTCTTCCCCGACTTGGCAGGAGGTGCGGGGGAGTCGGTAGGCGTCTTCGACTTCTTGGGGGATTTAGTGGGAGTGGTCTCTTCCGCGCTCTTCCCGCCCTTCTTCGACTTCTTACTGCTAGAGTCGGAGGAGCTTGTATCGGAGGTGCTTTCATCGGAGCTCTTGGACTTGAGCACGCGGCCACGGCTGATGTCCGAGGGAAATTCCTGTCCGGACAATGCGTCGCCACCTGAAAAACAACATATTGAATTATTGGATTAGCGGAATGTGGATGACCAGCGAAACGACTGCGAAGTGCAGCAGCTGAATGTCGCTGTCAAAATCCCCCCAGACACGGGGTGGAAGGTAAGAAAATGCGTGAAGAGAAGGCGTACCTTCAGAGACAATCACAGCACTCTCCACAGGCCATGGGGCTGCCATGAGCAGCACTCCGATCAACGCGCACACTGCGACGATGGGCGCGACGAGCTTTGCGGACGCCATTCTCCCGCAAAACAGATCCAAATTTTGAACTGAGCGCAGTCACTCGAATGAATGTGCTGGTCTGGCGGGCAGAGGTCGATAGGCGAGGAGTGATAGAATGGTGAGTGACTGATGATAAGCAAAGCAAGGAGCCTGGATTTGTACTTTCGATGCTTCACCTGTGCATCATCGTTTGAGGGAATCGTGGGGGCGGGAGGGTCATGAACTGGAGCGGCGGGATGGCTGGGACGGAAATTGGAAATGCGGCGCGCAGGGTTATCTTCGGGAACACACTCTACCGAGGCGCGGTCAGAGATCGAGAATGCGTCTCAGAGAAAATACGTGAGCGAAACCCGGGAGACAGGGATTTGCTAGGAGCGTGGCAATCGAAAATGTCTACCAAAGGATGAAAACGGAAGGGTGAGTTCGCTTATTGGCTGGTGACAGTGCCTTTTTGGCGGAAAGTAGGGTATATTCACCCCTGAATAGTTCTGTTCAACAAACGGCATTCCCTGGCTCCACGGCAGTTTTCGCGATACGTGTTCCCTACCCCATTGTGGTAAAAACATTCCGCTATTACAGTAGAGTGCTTTAGCTCGTACGCATTGGGGTTGCTAATATATATCCCTAAAATATCTCATATCTTTGCTATAAGTGAATACTTTGGTTTGGCAAGCACACGTACACACTCACACATAAACACAAACACAACACGTAACACGCACACGTGCACACACCTCCTCCCCTCTTGGCTCTCAGATCGCACCGTTCTAATCCCCAAGAGAGGTAACTCTTCCCTGGTAAATAATCTTCGTCACCCCTCTGCTCGAGTAGCGCGCGCCCCCTGCCAGAGCCACGCGCCCCCCGCCTGAGTAGCGCGAGCCCCGTCAGAGCAGTACGCGCGCCCCACCGGAAGTAACGCGCACCCCGCCATAGCAACGCACGCGCCCCCCCATAGAAGCGCGTGCGACCTGCCGGAGCTACGCGCGCCCATTCCCTGGCCAGCGTGCACCCTTAGCCCAGCTACAACTTTAGTAGCCCATTGCCCGCCGCAACCAGCCGTACAGCCACTGTCGCGCCCAACAGCTCCGGTAGCAAGCATAACAATACATGCCTTGTGCACACCGGCACCCGCGCATGCACAAAACCGCTCCCCGTCCCTACAGCAGCTGCCGTGCCGGTCCCACCTGACTCCCCCCACTCCCTATACCTGGACCCAATACGTACCTCCCGCGAGTGGCTCGCCTTGCCACGGCTGGAAGTCACTACCCCCTCTCTCAATCGTGATTAGGGTTCCGTGTTCGGCCTACCGTTCTCCTTCGTCCTCCTATATGCGCTCTCCTAGCCTGGTGTGCCTCGCTCCTGTTCCGCCTCCCTCCAGTTGCTTCTAGGCAGTTCGCAACCTCCAGCCTCCTAGCCTCCGCTATGGCATCCTCACGTATTCTTCCCTTTGACGCCGAGGGTCATCCCATCGAGTTCAGCATGTGGCTAGTTCAGACCCATCGCGCCTTTAGGAGTCAGCGCCGGAACTGTGCCAACCTCTATGCGCACGCATCTGGCACCGTTAAGGCTCCTCCTCGCCCCACCCTCCCGCCTAGCCCCACTCTGGAGCAGCAGGCTGACTACGATCGGTAGTTCTTGGCATATGACACCTGGGAATCTCGCGACGCCGCTGCCTGCCTCGCCCTGACCGACCTCCTCCCTTCGACTGGGGCCGTCCACTTCTCTCATATGGAGTCAGCGAAGAATCTGTATGACACTATTGTTGTCCGCCATTAGAATCCTTCCTCTACCTCCCTTGGCTGCCTCCTAGTGCCCTTTGTGTTCTCTGACCTGAGCTCGTTTGAGACTGTCTCCGACCTGGTCACCCACCTCCGCACGCTTGACACTAGCTTTCACGCTGCTTGCACTGAGGAACAGCTCAAACAGACCCCCCCACCTATGTGGCTCACCCTCCACCGGCTTGTTACTCGCCTCCCTGATCGCCTCCTGCTACCCGTGAAGTGCTTCTTATGAAGCACCCCACCATGCTTACTATCGAACTTCTTGAATTTACACTCACGAAGATCGTGAGTAACCTCCTCTCTGTCGTTGCCGCCAGTTCCGCAGTGCCTCCCCACTTTAAGGGGTGCGCTGTGCCCCAGCTCCCCACTTTTGCTGCCTCGCTGACTACTGTGGCACTGTTTAGTTCGGAGGAGACTGCAGCTGTTTCTGCCACCGGTGGGCAGAAACGGGGCAAGGGAGGTACGAGAGGGGGGAAAGGCGGGGGTGGCAGTGGGGGTAGGGGTGTTCTGGAGGGGATCCTGGACTTGTCGGCCCGATGGGCGGAGGAGCTGCCTCTGGGGGTGGAGAGGGACCACAGCAACAGCAACTCTCCCCCCAGGTACTAGTGTTGAAGGAAGTTGGCCCCGCCCTCGCATGGGCAAAACTCACTTCATGGTCAAGTGTGCGGGAGGTGCAGCCGACCGTCTGCAGGTGTACGAAGGTTGCCTATACACGAGGTGTATTAGGGAATCCATGCAAGAGTAATCGAAGCATCCGCGAGTGCAACTCAGACTTCCTGTGCGCATGTACAAGTGGCCCAGCTCGTGCAGAAGTTCGCGGGTGTTCATCTGCGCAGGGTCGCGTCTGACCCTGCGCACCCTTGAGACTACACAGGCAAATTTTGGCCAGAAATTCGAATGTGCCCTAATTTCGACCAATCAGGGGCTGACATTTTGAAATGTTGACCAAGGTGTTCAACGAAGGTGCTCGACGAAGGTCGTCGACCCCCGACGACGAAGGTCGTTGACCCGCGACGACGAAGGTCGTCAACTGGTGATGACGAAGGTCATTATCCTGCAGAGATGTCAGGGAATTCACCTGGTTGACCAAGTTACCTTCTCGAGAAGGTGCGCGAAGGTGTGCGAACGTCGTCGAGGTTGTCGTGGTGAAGTCGACCGACGTGGCAGCTCGTGGTCGACGTGGCTCATCATGTGCAACCGTCAGCATGTGGCTGACAGCCTGCGCAATGTGTGTGACAGTGCACGTCGTGCATAACTGTCTACAAGCACCTGCGAAGTAGGTGCTTGCACATGTGCTTACAATCACCTGCGGATGCAATGTTGGCAAGCCGCGCGGATGCTGCATTGGCAAGCCACGCGGGTGCAGCATTGGCAGGCCGCCATCTGCAGCGTTGGCAAGTCGCGTACGAGCTGCGTTGGCGGACCGCAGACTTGCTCCGTTGGCAGGTCGACGAATTTGTCGTGCTGGCGATCGACGTGCCTGAGTGCTAGCAAACCTTGCATGTGATGTAGTCAATCCTTTGCCATTGCTTGTTCATTCTGAACTCTGTATTCTCAACTTTTCCTTAGTGAAATTCTTGTTGTTTTGCCTTGTGAAGACACAAGTCCTAGGGAACACAGACAAAGCTATGATTACTCCTACAACTAGTGCCCACCCTATAGTCTAGCTCCCACCGTTGTAGAGTTAATCTCCTCAACTACAGCATCCATAGCCACATCAACCGCAGCATGGATAGCAGCAGCAGCACGGACTGCAGCAGCAGCAGTAGCAGGTGCAGCGATAGGGGCAGCAGATGTTGCCGCCGTGGGGACCTGGTGGTCCGGGGAGTGCTAGTCCTTGCAGCACCCCGGTCGGGTGGGGACCCCGGTCCGCAGGGTGTAACGTCGGCCCCTGCGACTACATTATCAAGATGGGTCGGCACAGGAGCCACGTCTGCGGGCGATCACAGTCATCACAATTGCCAGCTTCTTGGGGTTGAAGGGCAACTTCAAGCACATGGAGCGGCGATATGCCTGGCTGCAGCAGATGGTGAAGCGCGGTAAGATCGCGCTAAAGTACATCCCGACTTCTGAGCAGCCGGCCAACTTTCTGACGAAGGCGGTGCACTTTCCGGCCTTCAGCCGTTGCTTCATCGCAATCGGCCAAGTGCGCTTGGCCGATGTCGGTGACGGGGACGACGATGCGCAGCAGTAGGTGCCATGCCCCTCTTCATGGCTGGTGCGGTGACCGGCGTGCTGTGTGTTGGGTGCACGTCGACGACAGGTTTTACTCGTGTAGTTTTGCCGTATGGGTTGGGAGCCTAAGCGTGAGCGTGACAGATGAGTGCTGACGGGAATAAGTTGTTGGGCCCGCCCTCGCTTGGGCGAAGCCAACTTTGCGGTTGGGTGCACTGGAGGAGCAGCCGACCGTACGCAAAGTTTGACGTTAACTTGGGCGTGGAGGTCGATAAGGTGGTCGACCTATGGGCAAATGCTGCGATGGCGCCGTCGACGGGAGCCGGCGGCCTATTTTGTTGGAGAGGTCTACGAAGGTGGTTGTTGATTTTTGCGTGGGTTTGTCGATGAACTGTCGAAGATAGGAGTTGGACAACAGTAGCTGACCGAACTGCTCAATGGAGGGGTCCATCGACCAGGGTGGTCCTCGACAAGAAAAGTGGTCGACGCGGGAGGTCGTCGACCAGGGCGCCGGGTGGTGGTACCCGGTCGACCTAGTTACTTCCTCGACGAGGTTCTTCGGAGGCACGTGAGGCTTGTCGAGGCTGCGATGGTGAAGGCAACATCGGCAGGGCTCTCGGTACTGGGGTAAACATCCTAAAACTCAAGTACATTCCGTATGTTTTGTCGGTGAACCCTGATTCATCAGGATTGGTCTATAAATCATCCGGACCATTTTCAGCAACCTAGCAACACGCCCGTTCTTGGCGGCTACACGAAATAGGCTGCACAGGTCGATATGGACTACGTCGAGCGCGAATCTCGCCTTCCGAGCTCTTGTCGGGAAAGGAATACCACGCCAGTTTGCTGCTGATGCAGGAAACGTGGGGCAAGTCGACGACGGCCGACGATTTGATCTCCAAGGTTGCAGTGGCTTCATGCGATGTCGTGCGCTATATCGTGTTAACAATGGCGTGCGTAAGCCGAGCATGCCAGCAGTCAACGTTTGGCATTGACTTGGTCGACAAGGAGGCGATCGTTCGCGGCGCAACCACCTCCGTCGAAGCCGACGTCGGCTTAGAC